TGTTGTTGCTTAAGTATTCTCTATCCGATGTGTCATGTACTCTGGACTGTCTAGAGTCAGAGTAGGTAACATAGTAAAAAATTTTAGTATAATGCCCTGCAATCCAGTCGAGTAATTTTCCTCAATGCGTATTCGTACTTGCGAGCTTAGTTCGATATGTTGAATGTGGAAAAACAATTGATAAGTTGAATCTGAATATGATTTCATACTCGAACCCTAATTGATAGTTACATAGATGCTGTTAGCAAATCTTGATTCTAATTGATCAAAATTGTGTTTTTTTTTACAGGTGTCAATGTGAAAAACTGTTTGATCATGTTGTTATACAATAGAATAATTGACATTAATAAAACTAGATTTTTTAAATATTTATGATAAGTTGCATATCAGCAATAAAGTTGATTCAAAATGTAGCGATCCACCGTCATGATGAAAAATGCATAGATGTATTTGCTTGTATATTCACAATTATTGCATATAACTTGGTATTGCTGTTAACTTCAGTGTCATCAATAACTGGAAAAAGTCTAGGATATTGATTCATAAGGTTGATTAACAAAATTCTCATCAAAGCATGATTGATTCTTTATTTCTATCCGATAAAATCGATCTATATCGTTTTAGTAAGACGTTTCTCAGCACTTCAATCTAACTGAATTTATTACGTTCAATAATTAGAAACAACGAATCCAACTCCAGTAATCGCATCGTAATTTGCTTCCTTTAATATTTCATCTTAATATGGTATCGTATATGGTCGTATCTATGTCGTATTTTTATTCAACGCAGGTCTGAAACATAGTCTAGGTTGCGATAAAATACGATGCAGAAACTACCAATATTTTACCATTCACAATCGTATATGCACCCAAATATGTCCGATCGCAGTAATTACACTTTTCACATAAGTGTTTTCTAACATAACCTTCACATGATCACCGGCTAGCAACGTTCAATCTAAATAGCATTCCTAAATTTTTGTTTCAAGGTGTTAGCGCCATCTATATTTCTTAAATGTTCAAATATTCAGAAAAATTACATTAACATTTATCAGAAAACATGAAAGACTCCATTTATTTAAAAAAAATTATTTAAGCTCAATAAAATTTTCTTCAACATAACAAGAAAAACTGCGGGTCTTTGTTTCATGTTCAGTCATTGTTATTTCTTGATTTTTTTTTCTCATACATTCACTGTGTCGTTCTCTTTCTTTCAATATCAGAACTATGGATTCCACAAATATTATAATTCCATTTGATTATCCATTTGCTATTTTGGGTAATATAAATTCTTTTCGTCCTTGGTTTTTCTTCGTCTAAACACAACTATATCTTTTAGAACATCGTCATAATTCTGATCCAAATAATAAACTTGTTTATGCTGTTGCGGATGGTCAATATACATATGGTCCACTTTCATTATATCAATATCATAATGATGAAAAATATTCGAAAACGTATACGAAAATTTTCTATTTTTTCATTTCAAATAAATTTTTGTTTTTTTTTTTCTAGAATTCGAAGCGATGAATTACCACCATCATTACCATGCAAAGTAAAAAATAAATTATGAATTTGTTTTATTTTGATTAGTTTATTTTTATTGAATAAAGGAATATTATATAGTTGAATCAGGTTTCTCAACTGATGATGCCATTGAAATAGTTGATGAAAATCGTGGACTTATTTATGTCAAAGAAATTATATTCACCGATGATGAGAATGATGAATCTATTGTAACGATTGATCAAGAGCCTGAACAAGGTTTGTTTTTTTTTTGTTGAGTCTAATTTCATTACATATAAAGAAAATTTTTGGTTTTAGTTCACATGAAAGAACTTTTTAAAGAAATGGCTGAATGTAAAAATGAAATTCGAAGTCTTAAATCAATTGTAAGTTATAATTGATTTTACTAAATAATAAAAACATTCCTTTTTCTTTTCCTTCTTTTTCAGGTTTTATCCGAAAATCGTTTTATTAAACGTCGATCAACTTCAACAGGTAAATAAATTCATAAGAATAATATTATTTTTTTTTATTTTACTAAATCTTATTCTTCTATTTAGATTCACCTGGTTTTCGAAATATAGAAAATAATTCTAAATGGATTCGTGGTGGTGCTGGTAATCGTTCAGCTAATACTGGACATATGTCCGATGATGGTGGTATATCAACACCTTTACGTTATAAGAAAACAACAACTGGTATTCGTAAACCACAACAAGTACAATCATCAATTGTTCAACGTAGTGTATCAACAACATTATCAAATAAAAATGTTTTAACACCATTAAGAAATAAAACAACAATGTCATCAGTAACAGCAAAATATACAACACCAATGAGTACAACAATATCAACGAACAAAAGAGTTGTTTTAAAAAATGTTAAATCATCTGGTTATGGACAATATACAACAATTAATAATACAACAACAACTATTAAAAAACAACAACAACAATTACCTGCAGTTGCTACACCTGGAAGATCGTTTAGAAAATAAGAATTCTTTTTTTTTTTTTTCTCTTGTGCATTTCATTTTCGTTTTCTCTTATCGATATGTTTGTGTGTGTATAGTTCATAACTTTAAATAATTCTCTTGTTAAATATGATTAAACAAAAAAAAACAGAATATAAATTTATGTATTTTCATCTATATAGACTATTTGTGAAAATAAATTGTATACTTGTTCAGAAAATTCTATGAATTGAGATTTTATTTAAAAAAATTTTTAATATGAACCATTAAATATTTTATAAAATATGAACTAAAAAGGAGTGTTGAAGTATAGAGGTAATAATTTGAACCTACTTCCTCTTTACTTGAATCTGTCGGATCCAAAATTTTTCGAACGAGTCTAAGATTAATTCAACAGGCTCGACTCTTTACCGTATACACCGGGTATCAATTATATCTCGTCATAATATATGAACTATTTATTGCATTTATGAAGGATTGAGTAAATCGATGGTAAAGACGTGTGTGCCAAAATATATAGAAGAACATAATGTTCTAGTTATTACCAATAGCAGCTATCTCTTGTGTCACATTGTAATCCCATGCAGATAGCATTAACAGCCTTTAAAATGTACTCAAAGGTTTTTTTGGATTTGATATAATGAAATTGTAAAGCGTAGAAGTTAGTTCACTATGGAACTGGTCAATGATATTTTATAATAAAAATTTTCGAGCTATGATATTTAAAAAATTTTTAACGTGTGAGTGAATTCTATGTGAAGTTTTTATCCATGACAGACAGTATGAACGTCAATAAAGATATTTCATAGTCTATTAGATTTCGAATGTGTGGATTAGAAAATGTCACTGTTTATTATACAATTATTTTTAAAGATTAATCAAATTCATTCATAGACATTTTTGTTCTCTTAGTAGTTTCATTGATCATTTAATATTTTCTTATTTTTGTAAGTATACAATAATGTGACATTTCATTGCTGTAAACAACTTCTTCAGACAAAATACCTATACCAAACTAAATATTTCAATGTAGGTATTGTAAATCATCTATTGTGTATTTTATCCGAAGAAATGATTTACAGTAACGATACATTAGATTATTGTATCGTAATAAAAATCTTTTAGAAAATTTTCTAGTTTTTTTTTCTAGAATGATAATGAACGAAATATTGAAATCGTTTTGTAAATATCATTAGTAATGATTTATTAATATTCCCGATGGTTCATGGACCGAATATTATACAGTGAACTTACTGAATAAAAAACTATTTCGAAAAGCTTTTATCATTCATTTGTTTGTTTTTTGAACTAGTACATCAGTCAAGTTCTCTTGATGAACGTATAGATGAAAAAATTCTGAAGATCATATAGCATGTGGTGTTATTGATATTCGCCACTGTTATTGAACGTTCATTAATCCTAGAACAAACACAAGTGAATACGAATAATTCATGCTCAATAAGTTTTGTTTCTATATTTCGCCAAATATAATATACATTGAGAACAATGAAATAAAATCTATGGACATTCTTTTATTTTATATTATTCTTTCGTTTGTATATAATCCGTTTTATTTGATGTAATTCAAACTTAAAAATATTTTTTTTTTCTATAAAAAAAGAAAAAAATTTGTTATAATACATAATCAATCCTGCGTGTGTTGTTGTCTGCTTTTTTGCTAGAAGATAAATTCTTTTTTTTTTTTTGTAAATTTATCTTAGTTTCATAAGAGCAATACGTATACGAAAATAAATATTACATTGAGTAGTTATCGTTATCGCTAAAATTATACACACGTCATTTATGGACGCCGAGATTTTTATAAAGTATGAAGGCATGTGTCCTTTCGAAGTTTGCGGTTTTTGTACAACGTTCTATGCATCTGTAGTCATAAATATAGGTGTTCGTCCTTCTACAAGAGAAAATTTCAATAAAAAGCTTATGAACTTGATTAAAACAAACATTTTCATAGTCTCGTGTTCTAAACTAATCCATTTGATTTTATCTAATATGCCTATATATATACGTACTCCTATATGTTATACCACCTGAAATTTCATTCAATACGTGTAGACATAATTTGCAAATATATAGGGCATCGAATAGACAATGATGTTTTGAATTGATCATAATTGAATATTATAATTTATTATAGTATTAGAGCTCAACATTATTTCTTACGATTCGGGAATCTATTTAATGATACAATCTTGATACTCTTAGAATTTTATTGAAGATTATGATGGATGAATTACGAATTTATAGTTCGAGAGTTTTCATCGATTGATGTTTGTCTGTTTGCTTGGCTATAGATTGGCAATGTTAATTTTTGCTTTTTTACATGCTCTTCTTGTCGTTGCTGTTTGTTTTACTCATACTTGCTTTGTAAAGTAGAGTCATTGATTAAAAAAAAAGAACGAAAAAAAAAAACGAAAGCACATGCATATCTTGTTTGCATAAATATTTTTCAATTTCATTGTTTTCATTTTCACATTTCAAAAACAAAGTTCAATATTGGATAAATGAATGAAACCAGTGATTCTGATATAAAATTAAGTATTAATCATGATGGTAGTATAGCATATATTCGATTTGATGGAGATTCAACAAGAAGTACGAGTTCATCAATTGTTCTTAGTAGGTGTAGTAGTGATGAAGAAAATGACGATAATCGTTATAAACCATCATTGCAATGGAAAAGACAAAAAATTTTGAATAATGATTGTCACCATTCGTAAGTTGACATATTTGTTATTTAGAGATTCTTTTTTATCTTTTCTTGAAAAGGTTAAGAACTAATCCTAAGAAAAAAAAATCTACTATTAAAATAAAGAACGAAAGAAAAAGTTGATATATAGTCAAAACCAAAAGTTTAAGTGAAATTAGTTTTTCAGTATTTTTTTCACATTTTGTTTTTCAATTTTCTTTTTCATATTAAGAGGTATGGATCTGATTCAAATGGTAATATAGATATTACGAGAAGCCAGCTACATGATGTATTATAGAATGCGACTCTGTCTGTTGATATAGATTTTTCATAATTAAAATAATTTTTTTCTACGAAACAATAGGTTTAAGTACCTTTCAGCATTTTGCATTTCCTAACCAAGAGAGTTTTCCTAAATTCAAATATATATATATATATATATATATATATATCTCGATAGAGAATTTCACGCTCTATAAGTTTATAAAACAAGATTTTTTCCCCGAGTCGATCTTCACCTTCAAAACTTGGTTTTAGTGAGAATAGTCAACAAAAGTGAAAAAATTAAATTACCTCCAACAAACTTCCTCTTATTACAATGTTTAATACACCGTTAGAAAGAGCGTTCAAAACTGTACAAATGTTGTATTTGTAGTTCGACTATCACTGAGTCTTCACACCCACATTATTGAAATAATGTTTTGAGAAACACAGTTAGCTAGTCTTTTTTTAATTATTTTGATGGGAGAAAAATGCTGACTATTCTCATTAAAATCAAGTTTTGAAGGTGACGATTGACTCTAGAAAAAAATCTTGTTTTATAATCTGATAGAGCGTGAAATTTTCTATCGATTGATATATTTTTTTTTCATTTTCGAAAAAATCTCTTGGTTAGGAAATGTAAAATACTGAAAGGCACTTAAACATATTGTTTGATAGAAAAAAATTATTTTAATTATGAAAAATCGATATAAACAGACAGAGTCACATTCTATAATACATCATGTAGCTGGTCTCTCGTACTATCTATATCACCATTTAAATCAGATCCATACCTCTTAATATGAAAACAAAATTGAAAAATAAAATGTGAAAAAAAATACTGAAAAACTAATTTCACTTAAACTTTTGTTTTTGACTATAAGTTTAACATATGTAGATATATATACGAATAACTAAATATACACATACACATATATGTTATACGAAAGATTTATTATTAAATTATGAGAAAGAAAATTAATAATTAACTATGTTGTTGTCAAAACAATTGTCTACCATAGATTCTTGTTCATTATCAAAAAAAGAACCTATGTAGGAAAAATTGTTTGTTTGTTTGTTTATTGTGGAGTGTTTAAATTTTGTTAATTTCATTTAAGTGAACATCTTTCCAATGGTAACAATGCCCTTAATAATTTGCCAATCGATCGAAATTCTATTATGTCAGCAAAAGAAAATGTTGCAGTTTCGTTTGATGATGAACGACAAACAATACCATCAAGACGTTTACCACCTATACCTGCAGATAAACTTCATCGAGTAAGTATAGTATTTTTTTCAAAGATACAAATAAAAAAAAACTAATATGATTCAGAGAAATCCACATACAGTTCGACAAGAACTTAAAATGCTCGATGATTTTGTACCAGACACAACTCTAGCTGATGTACAACTAAGTGAAATGCCCGGCCTTCAAAATACAGGTAAATATTCATTTTTGAATACAAAAAAAAAACGAACTTTGAAAATTTAATTAGAACAATGGAAACGTATTGCTGGTCGAACAGTTCATCCATCACCACCATTATCACGTCAATATTATCAAACAGTTGTATCAACACTTGAATTACAAGATGGACAAATACCACAACCATTAGGTTCATATCGTCGACCAGGTCGTAGTGAAAATGAACAAAATCTACCAAGTATTACCACATCTCCATGGAGTACATCACGTCGTCGAGTTATAATTAGTTCATCAGTTGCTGTTGTTATTGTAGCTATAGTAGTTTCTGTTGTTCTTGCTGTTACATTAAGTAAGAAAAAAAATATATTCTCAACAATTAAATAATAATCAATTTATTTTTATTTATAGCTGCAAGCTCAGATCGAATAACATCTGATTATTATGAAGGAAGTATTTATGTTCGTGCAAATTTTGATCCATTACTTTTAGATCCAACATCAACATTAGTCAGAGATTATAAAAAAGAATTTTGTGCATTAGTAAGTCGAAAAGTTTTTTTTTTTTGAATTCATGATTGAATCATTTTCTTTACATATAAATGAATGAAGAGCACAGCAAGGATGTCATAGTACTCATGTTCTTGTGAACAAATCAAATTTGACATATTTTAGTTTTTGAGAAATCATATCAAAACTGTCAAATACCTAGCTTTAAACATCACCTGTTCGAAGAAGACCAGTTCATTTTTATTTGATTGCAATTTTTTTTTAAATTTTCTCTGCAATTAGAGTTGTAGAATTTGTCAAGAGCTTTCAGAATAAATATTCAGTTTTAGCTTCATATGTAGGTTTATGAATGAAAAACTATCGATAGTAAGCATTAAAATAACTATTTTCTCGTTTTTATGTTAAGAGATATATAGTACTGTAGCTTAATGAAAACTGCAATATTTGCTAAAATATTTTTGTTCTTTCTTCAGTTCATACAATAGAGTCAAATTTCAAAACATCAAGTAAAAATCTTTTGCCATCTGATGACATACAATTTTAATAAAAAAAAAAATGTAAAGCAACATATTTTTTGAAGTAATTATATACTAAAACTAATTGATATAGGGAAATAGCATATAGAAATCGGTTCTGTATCGACAGCTATTGAACAGTATCATTATTTTCGTATTTTTATTACATCTGAAAAAAAAGGTATCGAGGTTCGACTTGACAAGGCTTTCAATGAATAAATGTACTTTTCAACCCGTATGATTCAAAATCGACAAAACATCTTATGAATTTCATCAAAATAAGTGATATGTATATAGACATAGGGAAATGTTGAGAAAATAATATTATTTTTATACACATTCAACATTGGTCTATCCAAAGCAACACTTAGTTTTTTCTCATTATTAAATTTATTTTCATCGATTTTTTTTTCTCGAATAGTACTATGGTTATGCTCTTCACTTATATATTTAAAAGAAATGATGTATTTATACAATAATAATCTAAATTCTTTATTAAATCTTAAGTTAATAAAAATAAAGTACTTGAAGTATTTTCTCCTAATACGTATTATAGAAAGAAAGAAAAAAAAATCGTTTCACATTTAATTCCCATGATATCATTTAGTCAATTTTTTATTCATTTTCATTGATTGACTATTCTTGTTGAATATATCATTTACGCTTGATTACGGTCGAGTTACTGTTAAACCAAAAAAACAAAATCGAGACAAGATAGATTAGGATTATTACAACAAGATCGGAGAAGAGAAGAGAGCGAGAAAAAAATTCTGCTTTTTTTCTCATTCTTTTTCTCACTTGTTTATCGTTCGTTCATATTCATCAATCGATCGATCGGTTGGTTCTCGATTATTTATTCCAGTGTATAGCCAATTTGATTGCTATCTACAACTATCGAGATAGAGTGTGCATGCAACAAGTAACAAAATTGAATTAGATCGAGCGTGTGCATGTTTCGACTAGTTTCCTCTTCTCTTAAACAAGTCGTCGTTTTTCTTAGTTGTATAGACATTTCTTTTTCTTATCAGTATATATATATGTTTTGCGTTTTAGGTTCGAAGAACACTAGTTGGTGGTAAAACAAAATATGCTAGGTCTTATTCAACTTGTAGTGTAATTGCTTTTCGTAATGGAAGTATAATTGCAGATTTTGTTCTTGGTTTTAAACGCTCTTATAATGTAACACGTCTGAATTCATATCTTAATCGTACATTAGTTAATCAAGAACTATTTGGTGGATCAATTTTATCTATAGAATTTAATATAACTGCATTTGATATTAATAATAATAATAATACTAATAACAATACAACTCAAACAATTGATATTTATGATGAAGATGATGATGATGATGATGATGATGATGATGATAACGATGATGACAATAACGATGATCCAAATAATTCAGGAAAATTTATAATGAATGACCAAAATTTAATAAATGAACCAGAACAACCAACACAAACGTCATTTACAACTGTTACATATAAAACACTTGATAAAGGTTTGTCTATAACTATATCCGAAACGATAACAATCACTAATAATAATAATTTTGATAAATTGCCTATTAATAATAAAAATTATGAACTTATATTAGTACCAACAACTGATAATACAAAAACTGTTGTTGTTCCTAGTGGGGGTACTAATGAAAAAACTGTTTTACCACCTCCGACAACAACAACAACAAATCTAGTAACAAAATCTCCATCGAGTCCTCATCTTCTCCGACCAATAAAACCAATTAGTGATACCAATTTTGCTTATATTGATGATTCAAGTGATGATCGTACAATAAGTTCAGGGAATGGTATTATATTAATGTTGTCTTTTGTGTTTATTCTTTATTAATATCCCTTGACACTATTTTTATTCTATTTCCTTATTTATATTTGTCCTATTTATTTAATTTAGCTACATCGACTTTAGAAGATTTAACAACTAGAGATTCTACAACATCAGCTTCAACATCGTCACTTGATGAGGGAACATTAACAAATTCAACATCAACTATTGCTAATAATGTTGCGATAACAACAGCAACAACATCAAATCAACCACTAAATCAAAATCGTCCACTAAAAACTAAAGATGAAAATTCGAACGAAAAACAATTATTTTCTTCACGTTCGAATCCAAATGTAATCAAAAGACAACGACGTGTAGTTATACCAAAAAAACATCGTCGTTTATTACAATATGAATTAATGCCAACAGGAAAAATTTACTATGTTGATCGATCATTTTATAATGAAAGTAAAAAATCGAAAGATGACAATGATAGTAATTCAAGTATTGTACTTAGTACAGTAATATCTCGTTCCAGTTCAGTTGATACATTGAGTGATAAACGTTACCGTCATCGTCATCATCATCATCATCATCATCAACAACAACAACAGCAACAACAAAATCGAAAATATTATCCTAATTTATCATTAAAAAAACCTGAACAAAAATTATCAGTTGCTGGAAGATTAGCATCAAACAATAACTTAACAACAACAACATCACCATTTAAACCAATAAGTTCGAATACAAAAAAAAAACGTTTTTCATCATTTGAACCTACACCAGAATCACTTGATCGAGTATTTGATGTTTTAATTGCAGCTGATAAACGACGAGAAGAACATGAATTTTGGAGAGAAAAATTTGATCATCGTACAATAACTTCACGTTCTTTAACATCAAATTCTAGAACACATGATGCAACAACTAATTCAAATACAATACCAGTTCTTCATACAAAACAAGCACAATTAAATGTAAATTCAAATTTGAATAATACTGATAATCGTTCACAATCTTATACAACTAAACGTAATTCGTCATATGATACATATAATCGACAGAGGGGTTGTCTACTAGAAGATTGTCTTCGACGACGAACTTTAATTATTCAACAACAGCAGCAACAACAAAAACTACAACAATTACAACCATCACGCAATTATTCACCAAATACAATTTATTCTACTAACTATCCTAAACAACAACTACCTCCAACTGGCAAACCACCACCTTCTACAGTAACAACGACAACAACAGCAACTGCTACTAATAATCAACAACCAGTACGCATTTTTCCATTATCAAATGGTCGTGTAGGTCGAGCTCCACAAGCTCGACAAACATCTGATGAACTTTCGTCTCAATCAGACGTATGGGCAACACGTTCATCTTTAGAAGACGAATTTCATCATCCTAAAAAATCAACAAATCATACTCGTTTTCAATCAGCTGTTCATCGCAATCGAATAAATGATCCCAAAATTCTTAATAATAAACGTGCATCCAGTGTTGAACAACAAAAACCAAATAGAACACAAAATAAAAATTTAACAACTAAAAGCAAATTTTTCGATTTATTTAAATTCACGCGTTAGTTTTTCCTTTTTTTTGTTTACAAAAAGCAGCAATAAACGAAATACATATACACATACGTATATATAAATATAAACGAAATGTTACAATCAGATAAAAACAGAAATCGGCAGAAGAAGTTTTCCAGCTTGTTGAACTCCATAAAAAAAATAAATCGAAAATCCAATAATCATCCATAAAATAAAACGTATCCATGTTATTAAACTTAATTTTAACATTAAATAAAGGTTACAAAAAACACTAAATATTGGTAACCATGGCATAAATGGTGTTAAAAAAATATTGTCTAATTCATTGGATATGTTTTGTTGTTTTTTTGTAGAAAATTTTTTATGAATTAACAAAATTAAAATACATAATAAAAAGGTAAATATTATTATTGCTATTGGATTTATATAATCATGATTTTCAAATGAATAAATTGAAATAAAGCACAATAATAAGATTATAATTACTATAAAAAATAAACTTTTATGTAAGTCGTAAGTACTATCATCATTCACTTCATAACGTGATATTAAAACAGCTAATGCAACTTGTGTATACGCAATTAATGTTCCTATACTTAACATTTCAACTAACGTTAATAAATCAAATATTAATGCCATAAAAGCTGATATAAAACCACCGATAAGTGTTGAATAAATTGGTGTACGAGACTTATTTGATACTTTACCCAATATTGAAAATAATAGACCATCTGATGACATTGAATATAAGACACGAGGTAATGGAAATAATGATCCAATTATACTGGATGTAAGACCAGTAATAGCTCCAAGTGTAACTATAAACAACAAAGAAAAAGATAACTGATATAAACGAAAAAAACACACAAACAAACAATCTCACTTGCAATTTTAACATGTGACAGTCCAACACGATCAAATGCATCAGGTAATGATGCATCAACTCGTATTGAATAATAAGGTACGATTAATGTTAATACAGCAGCAACAGCACAATAAACAATACAACAAACAAATAAAACAAGACATATACTAATAGGTATAGCCATTCGAGGATTTTCTGTTTCTTCACCGGTTGTTGCAACAAGATCGAACCCAACGAATGCATAAAAACATGTAGCTGCACCCGATAATACACCTGAAAATGAATACGGTAAAAATCCACCAGTTCCTGCTTGAATTATTGATTGATTTTGTTTAATTTGATTTATTGATATATGCCAATTATCTGTATTTGCTTTAAACACACCACTTAAAACAATAACTACACAATGAAAAAAAAAAGAATTAAAATATTAAAAAGCAAACTCTCTTCTTGTTTTTATTTTTTATTTTTTCTATCTTACTTGTTACACTAGCTAAATTCACTGTTGTACAAAAATTATTCATTCGACTTGATTCTTTAACACCAATAGCTAATATAATGGTTGTTATTAATGTTAAACAAAATGCTCCTATATCCATGTATGGTGCAAACATTCCATATGAATTATTAAATGGAAATGGAAAATTTTTTTCAAAAAAACTACTCATACGAAAACCAATTATTGAATCAACTGAACTTGTCCATGCACGTGCTGATGATGCTATCTAAGCCAAATGCATATGTTTTTCTTTGTTTTTTCTAATTAAAAAAAAAACAACGACTTATTTCTTACCAGCTCCAACTATATATTCAAGAATTAAATTCCAGCCTAAAATGAAAAAAAAAGAGTTAAAATATCTTAATTCATACATTAAATCGATAAATACACCTGTAATAAAAGCTGCTAATTCTCCAATAACAACATATGAATAAACATAAGCAGATCCTGCACGTGGATATTTTGAGCCTAATTCTGCATAACAAAGTCCTGAAAATAACGAAGCCATACCAGCAATAAGAAATGATAAAAGAACACCAGGACCAGCTAAATCTCGTGCAACTGCACCCGCAAGAATGTAAATACCAGCACCTAATGTACTACCAATGCCTAATGTAGTTAAATCAAATACTGTTAAACATCGACGTAATTGTGTATGTAAAGCATCGGCAGCTGTTATCCGTTTACGACGTGATAGAATCGTTAATGTACGTTGTATAAAACTAGTTGCATCTATGTTTAACATAGCACTATCGATAAATAATGCATAGAAGAAAAGGTAAATATTGTTATTTTTTGATTGTACAACGGTTTGTTTTAATTTGATGGGCCCGTTTTTAACTCATGTGTCTTACGACGTTAGAGTCATTATGTTGTACGTTAAAAAGCATGACTAGTTGCTCTGATAAGTATTGATGTGTGTCACTATCGATAAACACAAATAAACGAGTCGTATATATGCAGAAGATTTTTTTTATTGCGTTTTTTTATTGCAGCATTTTTTTTCCTTGTATTTCTTCCTACCCCACTTCAACGTGAAAAAGACCGTCAAAAAGCAAAGAAATTTGACTACTGTGACACACACACCAGAGTCTCAAGGTCGATGCTCATGTGCTGCCTTCAAGAGTTTTAATGAAAGAGGAAAGAACAAAAATAAATATAGAAAATTCATGAGAGAGAATTTTTTAGATGTTTTAATATTCATATGATCTTATCTATTAATAAAATAAGTATTTATTGATTACAAAACTCGAAATAGGCCTTTATACACATGTAACTATTACACGCATGCATAGAAACTTATTCATGTTGCTGGTCAACCGCATCACTCCGCCTCCTTAGGATCTAATCAGCGAGTAAAATAGGAGTAGACTATACATCATATTTACAATGAAAGAGAAAGTGGGACGAATACAACCTTTTTTTTTCTTTTTTTTTCTACATTCGCCTTTTGCGAGCCGATTGAATGTATTGAACAGCGTGCATATAGTAATTCATGTGCGTGAAATGGATGGGTATAGAGAGAGAAAGAGAATCTTCTAAACCGAAAGAAAAATGGGTTTGTTTGATTATTGTGAACATCACAAAATGTTTTTTTTTACGTCATGCAACTAGTCAATGAATGAGCAAAATTAAAAGGTGTTGTCTGGCTTTCGTTTTTTTTGTCTCGCACACTTACATGCGTGCAGGCTAGTTAGATCAATTTTTTATATGGACATATTTATATATATATATATCAATATATACATATATATGAATTGATGATTGATTGGATGGATAATTTCTTTTATTTTCGTTTGAATAAGTGTCACGTACATATAACAGTATTCTATGACCCGATTAACAAGTTCATTGGATTGGTTGCGAATATTCTCAAAAGCAAAGATAAGTATAAGAGAAAAAAAAGAATTGTACTTGATTTTTGGTCTATTTTTCAGCTATATATGTTTGAAATTCATTGAACTTGTCATATTATATGTCTGCCCAGACGTTGTAAAATGATAAAAAACAAGAAAATAGTCTTTTTTTTTCGTTCAATAATTATGATTTTATCTTTTTTCTCATATTGTTCATACACAAGTATAAAAATACAGCTGAAGTTTTTTTTCATTTATTTATCGAAATTTTATTCACTAAAACAACACTGAATGTGGCTTGAAATGAATATAAATGTGAAAATGAATTACTAAACAACTTGTATATTTGTACGTATATATGGACATTCTTAGGCGTTTTTTTTTCATCGCCTCGCGACCCATTTTTTGGAGAGTTTATATCTGTAACACATATATATATAAGTATATGCACGCGTTCTGCCATAGGTGAGATGAAATAAAAGTTTAAGTAGTAAGAATAGACAGTGGTATTTTTATCAGTTTTCAATTCAATTCAAGCTATAGAATAAATGGTGCAATATGAAATTAAGCATAGACGAAATAAAAGTACACTTCAGTATATTGATGATTGAGCAATCAAAATTACGACCTATTCTTTTTTATTGTAAAATTATTTGTATATCATAATGTTCTTCTATTTTACATTGAGGAAAATATATTCAATATGTAGTCAGTCTAGTCGAAAGACTTTGAATAAGCAAGATTTTTTGTTTTAGTTTTTAAAAAAAAGCATGATTCATTTTTGTTTCAAAATTCTTTCAGATGTTTTCTTGGTCAAGCCCATGTATTATCTTCTCATTTAATTCAATGAGTCTGGTTGATTCTAATTATTGTTTTATTCAATTATTAAATTATATAAAGAATACAATATCAAATATTTGTATTAACTAAAAGGAGAAGATTGTCATTAACTTCTCCTGTTTATTTATACTTTGAATTCGTCTATATAAATCAAATATATACTTCGTTGAAGGTAATAATAATAAGTATGACACCTGTCTTTTGTTTTAAAGAATATACCTACCATATCAAGAATTTATATAAATACTCTATACTTTTTCTTATTGTTCTGTTCTTGCATACTGTTCATATATATATGCATTGATTTCAGCCAAAAGCTCTTATGATTGACGAAGTGATTGTCTAGTTGACCATAAAATTGCTTGAGTATAAATGTAGTGTTTTAAAAAAAGAAAAAGAAAACAAAAGTATGTCTGTTTTATATCTATTTCTCGCGCGTGCACATTGACTCTCTTTATTTGAGACATATCACACGTTTGAATAGAAAGAGACAATCATATTAATCAAACAGTAGGATAGTTTCAACCATACTTTTTCTTTACTTTTTCTCTTTCTCTTGTTTGATAGAAAATACAATTTTGACCGACTCTCGATACGCTATCAATATTACAATCGATCAGCGTGATTGTTCGCCAAAATTTTGCTTATATACTCTATGGTGTACATAGATACATATACATAAAAAAAGATAGTGGTGACGGCAATAAGCAAAGATTGATCATTTAATTGCTCGAAGTAGGTATAATAGATCACAGAACTAATATGCAAACAAATGCACACCTATGCATGTGCACGTTTATATATATATACATACATACATACATATATACATATGTATATTGTAAAAAAAAGCATCTTTAACCTTGAATCATATTGATGCTAATAATCGTTTTCGTTATGATGAAACTATATGACACAATAAATTTCATCTATTACATATAGAGACAATAGAAGACCACGTCTGGTTCTATCC